AATTTTGAGAAAATAGCAATTGTTTTTAAGAGAAGTTTGGTACAAGTGATCGTCGGGAAGAGTTAGTGATTTGCGTCATAAATTTTAAATTATAATTGTTAACATAAATATATATGTGTATTGTTCGTTAGTTTTGAAATTTTTAAGTCTTATCATCAAATTTTTAAAAAAATGACAGCAAAGCATTCTAAAAATTTATCTAATTCAATTAAATCTATTAAATCTTCAAACAAAAAACAAAAAACCCAAAATGAGAAGTGCATAAAGACCAGTTTGATCTGGCAGTATTTTGAAGAAACTAAAGTTCGAGACGACGATGATGAAGAAATTTCAGTAATCATTTGTCAAATAAAGAAAAAAGATAATACTATATGTGGTGTATCATATGTCTATACAAGTGGATTGACAGGAAACACAATTAATCATCTCCGGAATATACATGAAATTAACAAAAATGGAAATACCAAAGTTTGTAATTAAATAAATTACTATATTAGTTAATACTTAATATTTTTGATTAACAAAAAATTTTAATTTAGAATAATAAGCAAGTTATATCAAATAAACAACATACTGAAAAACGGCAAATTCAATAAAGACAGTCACTTACAACGTAGATTATAAAAGATTCACAGCCTATTCATATTGTAACTAGCAAAACGTTTTGGAAATTTATTAGAGATTTAGATCCCGCTTTTTTAATGCCATGCGAGGAGACTGTCAAAAAATTAATTTTTATAGCATATAATTATAGTTTACCCCTCCTCAAAGAAAAATTAATTAATGAAACTGTTTCAGTATTATTGTATATAGATTTCTGGACGGCCCATAGCCGTCGTGGCTATCTTGGTATTACTTGTTCATTTATTAATAATGACTATAAGCAGTGCAAATTTGTTCTAACTATAAAATATATTAAACACCCCTATACAGCCGATCATATAAGCAAAATATTAGGTACTATTATAGATGAATAGGAAATCCAAGATAAAACCTTTATTTTTACTACTGATAATGGTCATAATGTAAAAAGGGTAGTATTGGATATGAAAAATGTTAAATGGCTAAATTGCACATCACATATTCTACAACTTGTAGTTACAAAGGGACTAATTTCAGCCAAAGTATTAATCAAAAGAGTTAAGCGCGTAATTAAATTTTTTATGCGACCTAAGCAGTGCGAAGGCTCGAAGAAGTTCAAGTCAGATTTCCAGAAACTCAAAATATAAGTAATTGCGAAAATGATAATAATAATAATAATAATAATTTTAAGGTAAAGCAATACTGTATATATATATTTATTTATATTATAGTAATAATTTTAACATATACATTCTAATTTATTAGAATATAAAAAAAGTTTCTGAATACTTACGTGCTATTGCCGATTGCCCAACAAGATGGAATTCCTCGTATCTCGTATAGAATAGGCTCTTTAAATTAAAAAATCAGATTAATTTTCTTGTAACTTTACTTTCAATCAAATCTGATTCCGATACTAAGAAAGATCTTAAATATTTAAAAAAAATTTTACTTTATGACGATGAGTAGGATACAATAAATGATCTAGTAGAGATTCTTCAACCATTCGCCGAGGCTACTGATTATTTAGGTGGAAGCAATTATTGCACCTATTCAATAATGGTTCCTATTTTAATTGAACTTAAGAAAAAATGTCAGCCATCGGTTACTAATAACGATATTATAGTAGAAATTAATGATGATGATGCCCAAGACTTATTTGACAATGATATAAGTGATGAAGAGAAAGAAGAGGAGGAAGAGAATGAACAGGCTTATATGCCAATTAATATTGATCTTGACGAAGTTAAAAGTAATTTATCTAATGCAATAAACTACTATTAGCCCGATTTAACATCATCAAGTTCGCTTTTGCCTAGTCTTCTAGATCCCAGATGCAAAAGTCTATTTTTTGTCATATTTGCTGAACAGTTCGCTACTGAGAATCTACTTCGTGAAGAGTATAATGAAATGAAAAATTCTATAAATAAAGAGGAAAAAAATGATAGAACAGAGGTTAAATCAACTATTGTAAAGAAAGCTAAAAGTAGCATTCTTTCCAGTTTCAAAAAAATATGCCAGCTACAGTTGAGGAGATTTCTGACTATTTAAAGCTTGAAAAAATTGATATTGATTGTGATCCTTTCGAGTAATGGCATGTGCAGCGTAATAAATTGCCGGTTATAAGCAGGTTAGCAAAAAAATATTTATCTGTTTTTGCGTCTTCAACAGCTAGTGAAAGGTTGTTTTCTGATGTAGGGAACTTAATAACAGCAAAAAGAACACATATAAGTCCTATATTATTTAATCAATTAATATTTTTAAAAAGAAATGAAAAATACTTAGATAGTATTTATCCATGTTAATCATACTAATACTTTTCATTATATACTATAACCGGTGGTTGGCTAAAGCGAAGTGATGTTTAGGGTTACCTTTTTGACGCAGTTATGGTTAGTGGGTTATATAGATATTAAGAATGTAATTTATGCAGTATGTAGATTATATATTGAATTAACTCCGGTGATCGTCTAGTGGTTGGTGTTACATGAGATTTTTTTATTATAAATTGATTTTGATCTACATATGTATGTACGTACATATATACTTAGTATTTTACTGTTGTATTGAAAGATTCGCAGTTAAGTATAGTATTAGTTATTTAGTAATAAGACTGCTTTAGTAGTTGTAGAATATATTCTTACATTGAATTCGAGAGCAAAGACTCAGATCAAGTTGAAATTTCATTATTAGAGTATATATTAATTATGTTTTTATATATTTAATCGCATTAATTTAGCACCGAGTTCGAGATAATTTAGTGTATAATCGTAAACTTCATTGAGTTCATTGAGGAAGATACTTGAAAATATCCTTAATCTAAGTATTTTAATGTATTAATATCTGTGATAGAGAAAATATTTCATGTGCCAAATTTAATAGCGGAATGATTGCTATTTTTGTGGCTTGTTTGGTCCTAATAACACAATTAATCTTTGAATATCAGATACATCAACATTGTCATGGAGTTTAAGTAAGGCTGCTAATGCATCTCCATGTTGATTTGGTTATTATGCTATATTTTATTTTATTTATATATTGGTGGAGTTAATTCTACTAACTTATCTGATTTTTTTTTCATATATACCAATGAATAATGCAATTTTATAAACTGATATTTTTAACCTTTATTTATTTATTAATACATTGGTATACTTTTATATAATACAAAACCTGATATATAGACAAATATGATGTGTAATCAATCAATATGATTTTATTACACTTAGCAAACTAAACTTGAAATCTAATTAGAGTACATCTGATTCAATGCTTCCTATTGTTACAGGGTTGTAGCCTTCTTAGTAAAATACAACCAAGTAACAAGATCACCCAGTGCAGTGATTGACTTTT